GATTAAATTTATATCAAGAAAAGTTATTTACTATTGTAATACCCTAATTAATTTTAATTGTAATTAAAATTAATGAATAAATATAATTTTTTAATTTTTATTGAATGTAAAAATAAAGAAAATTAAATGGAAGATGAAATTGAAGATAATTCTTAAAAAAATGGGTAAAAATTTATGTTATGTGGGTATTTTAAAAGAAAATTCAGAAATTAGTGGTCAAAACGTAATTTAAGAAAATTATGCAACGTAGAACGCCCAGTCAGCAACCCCAACAAACCGGAGTGCGCAGTGTGGCAAGAAACGATGACGCAGTGTCACGCGGGAGGCCACGCTGGCGATCTGCGTGTCCGCGATCCGACGGTCCAGATTCGTTCCCGTACGCACGGACGGTCCAGATCCGTTCTCTCATCAGATGTGATCGGATGACCAAGATTAAATGCAATGAACGGTTCAGATCAACTTTCTATTTAAACATGATCGGACGGTGCAGATCAAATCGTGATAGACGGTCCAGATTCACTCCCTATTTAATTGCAATTGAACGGTCCAGATGAAACGCGATGGACGATCAAGATTAAAAGAGGACGAATATAAATAACCCTCTTGACACCAAACCCTAACCCTAGTCGCCAGACACCCCCGTCGTAAAAGAAGAGCCAGCCACCGGGAAGGAAGCCGCCCGCCGTCCATCGCCGTGCCAGAGCCACTTCCGATTGCCAAAAGAGGTAAAAAAAATTTCATTGCTCGAAATTTGATTTTAAACACCCTCATGGTCAAATCGGAGTAAAAAGACTTATGGATTAGCTGAAAATCACGGGTAAAGTCCGGCGGCACCGTCGCAGAAAATTGCAAAAACAGCATCTAATGAGGCCCTTTTCGATTTTCGTTCTACGTAATTCTTCCACCATTGTATCACCGTTTCCTTCTCTACAGGTTGACTGAAACAAAACACTTAACTGCAAAAGTGAACCAGCGGAATCGCCACATCGGAGAACTCCGCCACCAGTAAGTTTCAGTTTTTTGACTTTTTTCAGTCAACCGAGACCTCTTAACGTATTTTCTCGTAGGGTGGTCGAATTCGGCCGAAAACGACCTACTCAAGGTAAACCGCAGGTGTGGGCGACGGTGTCGTCGCCGGAGCACGGCGGAGCCGTCGTGCCGGAATTCTGGAATTGGCCAAAAAGAGTTCCTAACACTGAATTTGGATTTTTTTGAGATATTTATAGGTACTTGAAGCGCGTTTTAATCTCCGAAGAAAAATTCAGGGAACCCGAGGACTGCCAGTAGGCGTAGTCAAAAGTTTAGCATTTCGGACATCAATTTGAGTGAGAATCCCTCACCATATTTCCTGTTATAGAATTGAAGTTTAATTTTAAATAATATAGTATTTTATAAAAATTTAGAAAATATTCATAATTAATTACATATTATTAATGAATGAGGAATCAGTTATTTACTATTGTTTGCTATGATTAATCGATTACCTGACTGTACCGGCCCCAGAAATTCAAAAACGAAATACATATAATAATCTGAGTGCGAAAGCGAAATAAAAGATTAAGGTTAATATCCCTTACACAATAACTTAAAAGTACTAAATAACATCACAGAATAAGTTCTCTAAAAGAAATATGAGAAATGAAAAAAATAAAGGAAATTATGAAGTATCTAGCATCTACTCGCCGTCTTCTTGTGGATCAGGCTCGGGAACTAGGTCCTCCTGATATGAAATGGTTAAATAAGGAATGAAGTACACTAACCCAGTAAGAACATCATACTATATTACCGTCACAGAAGTAAAGGTTGGTAGAAAACCGAAAATAACCAATGGAGCATAAATTTTAAACCAATACAGTTATTTAAAATAAAAACACTTACCTTTTTTCTTACCATCGGAGAACCTGTGAAAACAACCTATAAAGACAATAACATCATACAGATCACAATCTCATGTATAATCAGTAACATAAAATACATTATAAACCCGTATTCATTAACAATAACTGACTATCACCATTTCTCATTTTTCACCAGCTTACTAGTATCCATGGGGATCCATAGGGGGTCCTCACTACACGTGAACTATTCCCTTTAAACAATCTTAATTCTAGGGTCATCCCCATACCCCGTCCGGTATGAGCACCAAAACAATAAACCTCAATACCCCGCCGGTATGAGGGTGAAGCGGGTCGTCCCTATACATTGTCCGGTATGAGCACCAAATGACTAAGTCTCCATACCCCGTCCGGTATGAGACAACGTTTACGGTAGGGTTCCCTATGAACCTAGTACGTCCACCATCTTCCAAGATATCTAGTGAGACTGTCATCTTATCCATTTATCAAATCACATCCCATTCCTATTTGTCATTAGTCTCCGTTACCAACTCAAACATAAATATATAAACAAGTAACGTGAATTCAACAAAACAAGCATATCTTAGATTCCCAAAATCAAACAGTAGTGAAGTAAGCAGTGATTCATGCATTTAAAACCATAGAATAGATAAACCAAATACTATAATACATTTAAATTGTAAAATAAATCAAACAGGAATCGACAGAGAATAATGTTCGATTTCGGGCTCCATTAACAACCTTAATTAATTATGCATATATATTAATTACACAAAATACAGTATTACTATTTATTTGAACTTTAATTCCATGATAGGAAATAGAGTGAGGGGTCCTTACTTGATTTGACGCCGAAAACTAGATTTTCATTGCGCCTATGGGCGGTTCCTGGGTTCCCTGAATTTTTTTCAGGAACTGAAACGTGCTTACGATACCTACACATGTCCCAAATAACCTTAAAATCAGACCCATGGCCTACTTGGCCAATTTTGGAATTCTATCCGGCGACGGTGATCTGCTTTGGGTTGGCTGTTTTCGGCCGAATTCAGCTAAACTTACATCGGTTCCTATGAGAAAACACACTTAGGGCTCTCGGTGGGCCAAAAAAATATAAAAAATCGAAACTTACCAGCGGTGGGGCTCTCCGGTGCGGCGGCTCCTCCGGCTCACGTCGCGGTTGAGTGTTTTGCTATGGTCAACTTGTAGAGGAGGAAACGGTGAAAAAAATCACATTGAACGGAAATCGGAAATGGCCTCATCGGAGGTAAAAATTGAGAGACCATGCTGCAGCGTCGCTGAGCTTCGACGGCATTTTTTGACCAACTAGCCGGTCTTTTCGCTCTGATTTGGCTATAGGTGGGTTTAGAATCAAATTTTGAGCAAAGAGTGGAATTTTTACCTCGTTTAGTGCCCGAAAATTGCTCCGGTACCCAAATTTTCACTCATTTCCTCCAAAATTATTTTCAATTAAATTTCTAAATAATTTTTACCTATTTATTATTATTATTATTATTTTCATTAAAATAAATTAAATTCTATTAATACTAAATTATATTTATATAGAATAAATTAAATTAAAATAAAATAAGATAATATAATAATAATAAAAATGAAAAGAAATTTTTGGGTGTTACAACCTGATTTTACAGTTTTCGAATGCATGATAATACACTGAAATTGGTATAATGATTCGATTGTATTCATTTGATGCATGTTTTGCTTATTTTATATGATTACAGTTGAATTGGAAAACTTAAAATTAAAGATAAATAGAAAATTATTTGATTAAGTGGATGGATGAAACGTCAGCTTTACTGGATATCCTGGGAGATGGTGGACGGATCGGATACATAGAAAATTCTACCGTGAATGTTACCTCATACCAGACGGGGTATCGAGGTTTGATAATTTGGTGTTCATACCAGTTGAGGTATGAGGACGACCCTTTTCACCCTCATACTGGATAGGTGTATCGAGATTTGGTAATTTGGCGCCCATATCGGACGAGGTATGGGGGATGACCTGTTAATTGAAAATGTTAAAGGAAAAAGTTTACGTATAGTGAGGACATCCTTATGGACTCCCATGAATACTAGTAGGATGATAAAAGAGAAAATTATTGTTCCACCAATTGCAAATAAAATTATGATATGTGTTATATTATTGACTTTATAGATTGTTTTTGTAAAGCTCGCTACGGTAAGTAGGCGGTAAATGATTTTGTTTAATTAAGAGTTTCATTAGTTATTTTTATGATTTATACTAACTTTCATTTCTGTGTCGGCGAGTAGCGTGATATTCTCACTGGGCTAGTATAGCTCACTCTTTCATTAACCATTTCAGATTAAGAGAACCATGATGCAGAGCCCGATTCACAAGAGGGTTGCGAGTATGACGTTCAGTTTATTCATTTTTAATTTATTTTTTTGGTTATTAATTGTTCTTTTAGAATGGTTATTCCCGTAAGTCCCATTTGATACTTTCATTTATTGTGTAAGTAATGTAAACCCTAATTATTTATTTTGCTTACGTACTAAATTTATTATTTTTCTGTTTTAGAATTCTGGGATCGTTATAACTATAATATATAAAAAAAAAGATGAGTTTTTACAATTAAAAAAAAGGGATAAAAAAATAGTAATATTTGGAATGCTTATAAAATAATTCAAACTTAAAATTTGGGAAAATATGTGTATACTCACATATTTATAAACAGCTGAATTCTAAAGTAATGAAAATATCTTTTTCTTTTTTGGTACATGTGAAGGAACATGGTATCACATTTATAAAACATGATAAATGAAGATACAAAAATATCATATCTTTATTCTTCTAAATAAAAAAAAAGTCAAAATGACACGACACATTATTTGAATTTAAAATAATAATAATAATAATAATTATTCTATATTTATCCAAAACCAAATAATGTTCTTTAAGCTTGCTTAAATTACATGCACTTAAATTGAAGCTTTAGGTCCCCCTAATTATTGGAGTTTTCATTTTTAAGATTCTTTTTTTTTTTTTCTTTTTTCTTGAGGAAATCATTTTTAAGATTCTTACAAAAATTAGGTCAAAGAGGGTAGCCAATAACTGAAAAAGCTCAAAGCTACTTTCTACTCCTACCACCTACAAAATTATTATTATTTCTTATAAAAAAAAAAACCTAAAATAAACTAAATTTAACTAGAATTATATAATGTTTAAAAGGAATTTAATATATATAGAATTTAAACAAAATTCTAAATTAGGTGGCATTTATTTTAATATACTAGAAATACCCATCTTATTTCAAATATAATTTTAATTTTGGTTGAGTTGAAATTCGAGAATTGATATGTATATGTATATGTATATATATATATATATATGTATTGGTTTTGATATTTTTGTGATAAATTTGATTCATTGTGGCTAGCTAGGGCGGCACACAATCTACCTTAGAGGATTTGGGTTCAATGCTTTTATCTTCTCCACCACAAAACAAATTAAAAAGTTACTTCTTTTGGGAATCTACATTTCTCATACGTTCCCTTTACTTTCTTTTCTTTTCTTTTGGGGTCCACACTATATATTATATATATATATATATATTATATTATATTATATGTATACGTACTAAGTCTTACTAACAAAAGTAATTAGAACAGTAATACAAATAAAGTGTGATTGATAACGATACCTAGAAAGAAATGAAATTAATTTATATTCATTTGTTTGTTAATTTACTCTTTTAAAAACTTATAATCAATCATCGTTTAATTAAATAATTAATATATTTATTAAAAAAATGATATATTATTACAGATAAAATAATACATCTTTTTTTTTTATTTTAATAAAAAGTTATAAATTCAAATCTGATCGTATTTTATTTTTATTAATTTTTTTAAATAAATTTATTAATCTAAAAAACAAAAATAAATAAATATATATATATATATATAAATAGATTAGAAAAGTCAAATAGAAAATTGTAGTTGCTTATTATGTAGTGAATAAAAATTAATTTGTAGATCACCAACTCTAAATCCCTACACTTTCAACTCAATATGTATATTTCAGCCTCCAACTTTCTGGAAATCATTAATTCATCATTCGTTGTATAACTTCAAACTAAGATGCACAAAAAGATCATTAGATTTGTCAATTTTAATATTTTCTAAAAATGGTAAATTAGTTTTTCTTTTTCTATTCCTAATTTTTTTTTTTAACATACCCACTAAAGATAATTCAATAAAAAGAAATTTTATTAGATAAAAAAAAAATTGTAGCAATTTAGTAATATACATTAATACATAAAGCTTTTATTATGTAGATGAAAAGACATCATATTAAAAAAAAAAAAAAAAATTCAAAATAATTCAACACGTGAATATCTTAGAATATTAATTTGTTATTATAATAATTGTTAATGTGAAGAAGCAATGGGCCCGGGAAGCTTCTGGAGGCCCGTGAGTGTTTCTAATAAAATTACGGAAATGTCTTTATAAATTTAAAAAAATTTATCTGTAATAAAATATTTTAACATTTTATTTAAAAGTTTTTAAATTAAAATTTTATTAAGCATGTAAAACTGATTATTTTTAACATAAATGGCCAACAAGAGTTAATTCATATATATATATATATATTTGTTTTAATTACTTTTAATTCGTGTTAAAGAAATATTATTGTTATAATAAAACATTTTCTGCAGTAAAAAAAAAATAAAAAATTCTAGCGAATATATATATATATGTATATAAAATACTAGGGAATAAACTAATTAAAAATACTCAAGATTTTTTTAAAATAAATATTAATGTTGTAGAAAATGGAATTTGGGTGAATCCTTGAAGGTAGTATCTGCAATATGTGTGTATCTATCGTCGTTGGGCATGTTCGTCTATATATAAGTCAACCCCTCTTCGCTCTTGTACCAAATCATTTTACTATAACGACTACTGAAACCTAAAGTCTGACACATGGAGGAAATCAAAGAGGGAGAGATGAACACAGCTCTGGTGTACCTTATCATCATCATCATCATCATCATCATCTTCTCCTCTCTACTGTTAATCAAAAAGCTTGTTAAAACACACAGAGGCCATGCAGTAGCCAAGCTTCCTCCAGGCTCAATGGGATGGCCTTATCTTGGAGAAACCCTTCAACTCTACTCTCAGCACCCAAATCTCTTCTTTACCACCAAACATAAAAGGTAAACACATATCTGTCATGTATGTACTAACGTTAATATGCGTGCATGAAATATGAAAGGCATGTGGGTTGGTGTAGGTATGGGGAGATTTTCAAGACAAACATTCTGGGTTACCCTTGTGTGATGCTGGGTAGTCCAGACGCAGCTCGATTTGTGTTGGTGACTCATGCTCACTTGTTCAAGCCAACGTACCCGAAGAGCAAAGAGCGGCTCATTGGTCCTTCAGCTTTGTTTTTTCACCAGGGACATTACCATATGCGCCTTAGAAAATTGATTCATTCATCTTTTTCCCTCCACCATATCAAAAACTTCGTTCCAACCATTGATGCTCTTGCAGTTTCGATTCTTCATTCATGGGATGCTGCTCCTATCATCAACACTTTCCATGAAATGAAAAAGGTCCCTCTACTTTTACTAATATAAGTAATATTTTATGTTTATATGTATGCAAGTATTGATGGGTGACTTGAATTTTGTTCAGTTCTCTTTTGAAGTAGGGATAGCAGCAATTTTTGGACATTTAGATATTGGTTACAGAGAAGAGCTGAAGAAAAATTATCGTATATTGGATAAAGGTTACAACTGCTTTCCTACAAATATTCCAGGAACTCCCTTCAAAAGGGCATTAATGGTAAGTCACAAGCAATCCCATTTGAAATTACTTTTGTCTATTCTTAATACTTAATCCTGTTTTACTACAGGCAAGGAAGAGATTAAACAAGATTCTGAGTGAGATTATCAAGGAGAGGAAGGAGAAGAGGTTGGTAGAAAAAGATGTTTTGCGGTGTCTTGTAAACTACAAAGATGAGAAAGGAGAGGTTTTAAGTGATGATCAGATTGCAGATAACATTATTGGAGTCCTTTTCGCAGCTAAGGACACTACAGCAAGTGTCATGACATGGATTGTCAAGTACCTCCATGATAACCCTCAACTTCTAGAAGCTGTTAAGGTAAGAAATTTTTCTCCTTCACTCAATTAATTCATGCGAGAGGATTGTGTTAATTCATTTTATGTTCAAATTATCTTTTGTAGGCCGAGCAGTTGGCGATTCGAAGATTCAATGACGAACATAATGAGCCCTTGAGTTGGTCACAAACTAGGAACATGCCAATCACTCACAAGGTAATTAAATCAAACATAACTTGGCAAAATCTTTACACCCTTACATCTTGATATAAATGGCTAACACTGGACTTATTCAGGTTGTATTGGAGACTTTGAGAATAGCTAGTATCATATCCTTCACTTTCAGAGAAGCAGTGACTGATGTAGAATACAAAGGTAAGAGAGGGAAATCAACAATAAAACTTCATTTTTTATCCCCAATTTGTAAATGTTAATAAAGATTGGGTTACAGGGTACTTAATTCCAAAAGGGTGGAAGGTGATGCCTATATTCAGAAACATTCATCATAATCCAGATTTTTTTCCAGACCCTGAAAAATTTGACCCCTGGAGATTTGAGGTATGAGTTAATCAATGCTCTTATTGGTTCTGTGGTTTACTTCTCTGATATTTTTCTTTAGAGTGATGATGCCCTGTAGATGTCTCTGTTTCAAACCCAGAATAAGCTCTTTTCTGGTATTAAATGTGGGATTTTATGGGTAATGTAGGTCGCACCAAAACCCTATACATTCATGCCATTTGGGAGTGGAGTTCATTCTTGTCCAGGAAATGAACTTGCCAAGCTGGAGATGCTTATAATAACCCATCACTTGGTTTCCAACTTCAGGTATCGCTAAAAAATACATGTAAGAAACATATGAAGATGAATCAAAATAGTAAAACAAGATTATTAAGCAGAGACTACTTACAAGAAACAGATATGCTTAATAATTTTTTCCTTTTTTCTTGAGAAATAAAGAGGGGGAAAATGAGAGAGTAAATAAGTGGTGGAGGTAGAGAAGAATTTGATGATGAGAGGTATAAAAACATGCAAGTGTTGACAAGAATGTTTTGTTTGTTATTGCAGGTGGAAACTTATAGGATCTGAAGGTGGGATTCAGTATGGCCCATTTCCAGTCCCTCTTCATGGTCTCCCAGCCAGATTTTGGAAAGAATCCACAACTCCAAGCTAAAAGGCAGTTTGGGTCGGCGTGATAGATGCCGAGCATCCCCTTAACAAGTTTAATCTGCCATTGATCACTTACCATTATTGTTTTTATTAGCTTTATCACTGTCAATTTCTTAAGTGTAGCCCATCCCCTTCAAAAAGTTGTGGGGGATGATCAGATGCTGCATTTTCCACCCTTTCTAATTTTTCTCCTTCAACCCTTCCCTATCTCACCTTTGCAACCAGAGGTTCTTGTACTATTTAAATATCATATGATTGAATATATATATATATATATATATATATATATATGGGAGCAACCCATAAGATAAACCAACATGTCTTCTTTTATGTGTTGTTGCAAAACATCAAGGGCAAGCAAAATGAAATTGAGTAACATCTCCTTATGAATGTGAGTTATCAACTGTGAATCTTTTGTTTATGCATGCTAGTCTTTTTGAGCTGAAAGAGTAAAACATGCCATGCCAGGATTGTCCCGATTCAAAAGGCTGGATAACTTCAATCTTTGCTGTCTTTCTCACTGACCCTACAAAGGTGTGGTTATTAGAGATAGGTGGCCCTGAAAGCCACCACATCAGACATTTTCAGAGGCTAGATGCACCTGTTTTTGTCTGTACAGTCTTCGGCTGCATATTGCAGCCAGAATTTTTCAAGCTTTTTGCTCGCTAAACACGCGCATACACGACCACCAATTTTCCCTGTTTTCTCCTAAAATAATCAAATTATGTGAATTAGACACTTTAAATAACAAAAGAGTTTTAATGAGTACCATAGAAGCAACTTGCCAATCCCAGAATCCAGTATTATCAGCATACCTACAATTGTTGAACAGGCCTTGATGGTTCATCCAGGCAAAACCATAAGAAAATATTGACACTAATCAGGACTTAATCATTCTCATCCAGGTCGTGAAGAAGGTTGTACGCATGAATTTCTTGTTGGATTATACTGCCAATGTGGTTGACCTCTCAGATGTACTGTCTCATAGATAAGCCATTCTTCCAATCATCTAAGCTACAGCAGCTTTAGGTGAATCTTATTGTTAACCTACAATTGACCAAATGCATATATGAAAATTATACAAAAAAAAGAAAAAAAGAAAAAAATTGCATTTATCATAGAGCAAATAGGACAGTAATAGAGAATCCTCTATGTCCACTTACAGACAATATATCTCTTTCAAGTACACCATATATATCATATAAGGAAATGTATATACTATAGGGCCTGATCATAATGGCATCTCATCCGGGTGCCATTTTTTTTTTAACTTTAATACATAAAAAGCTGATTAAAAACATGACCAAGTTAGCTTAAAGCATCTGGAGATATGGAGGATGCATATTTAAGAATTGCTGCCACAATCTTCTCTTTGTCTCTGGTTGGGAATGCTTCCAACAGAACTCCATTTTTGTAGAAGTGGAAGAGGGGCACCGCCTGCATTAATTGACCGTCAATATTATTATTTTTTCATCTGATAGAGCAGAATTCTAGAAATTTTTTATTTTTGAAAAAGAAATGCTGATTTGTTGGTCAGCTGCATCTGCCAAAATCCTCCCAATTCAAAACAAGAAGTGGCATATCGTAACCACATGTGGACCCAAAAGAAGACAAATCATCTTTATTCTATTCATTGTTTCCTCTTCACAGGTTTAATTGAAAGAAACCTTTATGACCAGCTGGAATCTAGCACATTTTGTGAGGAATGAAGATTATCTTCTAAAATGAAAACAAAAGTAAGGAAGGTAAGCTATCTGGAAAGCTCATATTACTATAAAAATTCCAAGTGAATGAACATATTTGTACCATTTTATAAAACCAACCCAAACAAGTTATCCGTCAATTTGCATTTTTTAACATTCATTTTTCTATTGAGTTTTTAAGATTCATTTGGCATTCATTCAATTAAATGGAACATAAGCTATTAATACTATAGGAAATTACCTTAATTCGAAGTCGTTCAGCAACCTCAGACTGTTCATCATACTCATCAATTACCTGCAATAGAGACAAGATCAATAAGAATATCATGTAGTGAGGACATGCTCAGGAATTAGACTGGTAGGAATTTCTTCAAAGGAATCTACCACAGCAAACCATAAATCACTACCTTTATATCTAACCATTACTGTCCTCCACCAACTTTTTATGCTTTAGAACCTTTTTCATCTTTTTACGTTGATTGCTATGCAGTATGGAAGAGTTCAGTTTATAGATTATTAGCACTCACATTATGTTTTAGGAAGATTACGTCAGCTTCTTGATCACCAGATCCCTTGCACAATTTTGAAAATCCCTGCTCAATGTATTTACAACTTCCACAAGAGGTGCGATAAAAGTCCACTACAACCAAAGAATCAGTTACTTTGGCCTTTTCGAGAATTCTAAGGAATTCTTCATCTGTCTTAAATTCTTTAACGCAATCTACAGGACATAGATCATCATCTTCATCAGCTAATTCCTCTTGCTCTTGGTATTCCTCAGCTACTCCTTTGATTTTTGCATGTCGAAATAAATGGCTAAATTTTAAAATTCCAAAACCCGCAGTTTGACTGATAGATGGAATTTTGGCCCTCATAGAACAACAATTGACCTGATCTCTGCTGGGATGCCAGCTGGGAACCATATAAGTTTCCCTAAAATTAAGTTGTCCACAAATTTTCCTCTCAAAATTGAAAGAGGCCTTACTATAAAGAATATTCTCCTTAGGCATGATAATGTACAGCAAAATCACCAGAGAAATCTATATACCATGAAAATGAAAGGATTTATAAAATAAAATTCGGGTTTCCCACTTCCTTTCTTATTGTTTCATTCTATCATCGGATTGTGATAGACAACACTTTTGTGATAAACATACTCATTATATATCACTCGCTGTTAAAATGAAAAACAATATAATTAGAATCTTCCCCTAACAGAATATAAAAAAATCTATATCTTCTCCCAATGAGAAAACAGTATAACAGCTGTATGTAAGCACTAAAAGATTAATCTACTATACAGCATCAAAAAAGTAGAAATTACAGACTAAAAGTTAGAAGCCATAGATATATTATAGTGCTTTCCGTCGGTTAACTGACCCAAAAGTAAATTCTGCATTTTTTAGGAGCATCTTTCAGAAATAGACAACAGTACCCAACTTTCATTACTATCACCAGAGTAACACCACAAATTAGCAAGAATGAACACTCTATCATCTTAGCCCAGTAAAACAGAAGAAACAGGAGATGTTTTACTTCGAACATGTCTACTCCATGGTAAAACAGATAAGTACCACCAGAAAAGCCACACTAGCAGATATGGGCAGAGAACGTGCATATAGAAGAAAAAAGGAAAACCGAGGAAGACTATAAACTAAACTTAAGTAGCCAATTGCACTTTAAAAAATTCTAACAAGGTAGGCTTATAAGTCACTATTCCACACTCTTGAAAACAATAACCTTGCCAGCCAGTTGACAATCAATCAACCCAACAAAGTTACAGAAACATACAAAAGAGTTTTAAATTACAATCTAACCGATCACAAAAACCCAGAACGAAAATGGATTGAATAGAGGCAGAGAATGATAAATTTCTTCTCAGCCAACCAAGTAATTAATAAGCTGTTACCTTTAGAACTGAGACAAAGGTTTCTGGCAGAAAAAGCTTCGAGCAAGAAACGGACACGCCATATCCATATCCGCTCTGCTGTCCATTCCCTATCCGGAGGAACATGCCTATAGTTCTTCCCTTTTTTTTTTGCCCCCTGCAATGGGCCAAGTTTGTTGTTGGATCGGGCTCAGTTTGTCCGTAAAAGTGCTTAATGTTTTTTTTTTAACAAAAAAAACACCCAGTAAACACTATTCAAAAATAAATCCAGTTTACAAAGCGAAAAAGAATGAACAAAAATTCTCTTCAATGCATGTCTTGTGCAATTAGATATACTTAAACTTTGTATTATACAGTTTCTAATCTATGGATTAGGGTCATATACTCTTATGATTTCAATTAATCAAGTAAGCATTCCACAATAATGAATTTTGTAAAATTAAATTAGCTACAAGAACATTTTAGAATAATTAATAATTAGTTTTGTAAATTAAATTGGTTATCTAATTATCAAAATATACTTTTTATTATTTTTATAAAATAATTGATAAGATAAGAGTATATAATAATGTGTAAGATCTAATTTTCTTTGTTTAATTTAATAAATTAAAATTACTTTTGTACCATATATTGTAACAAATAAGTTATTTATATTTTTTAATTTAAGATAAATTATCAAATTATTTCTAAAATTTGGTAGTTGTTACAATTTAGTTTATAATATATATTTTTTCAAAAAAATTATGGTTTTTAAAATTTTTTATTTATTTTAAATACTTAATTTTTTTAATAACAAATATAAAATAATTAAATTATATTTGGATATTTTAATGATAATATTAAATATATTGTTTATCATTATAATTTTTTAATAATTTTTAAATATAATGCAAGTATTTTAATTTTTTTTTCCTTAAAAAATAAAAGAAATTAAAATTTTGGAATAAATAAAAAAATATTACTGGTAAAGTATTAAAAATTAAATTACAATAAATGCTAAATTTTAGAAAATAATGTAATAATTTTTCTATTAATTTAACAGCAAATTCTAACACTTGTCCTGGCGGGGGTTATTGAGATGCGTGCTCACACTCTCACTTTATCTGATCTCTGACTATCGGGAGAATTAATTTCGTCACCTCCCCGCCCGCCCCATCCTCTTTCTCTCGCTCTCACGTCATCAATCAAGGCTCTGGATGCAGTATAACAATCCTAATCCACACAACTCCGATTGTTCTCCGACCCAATTTCCAACAACCAAATGGCTACTCAGCTCAAGTCCGATGCGTTGTTGGAGCAGATGAAGCAGCATCTCACCACTGATGCTGGCAAACAACTCACCAAGAAGATCGGCCTCGTCTACCAGATCAATATCGCCCCTAAGGTCTTCTCTTCTCTTCTCCTCTCCGCTAATATCTTCCTATATATATACACACGCGCGCGCACCTTTGCATTTGAATATATGTTGTTTTGGTTTCATAATCTGATAGTACAACGTCTGGATTTAATGCAGAAAATTGGATTCGATGAGGTTGTATATATTGTCGATCTCAAGAAGGGAGAGGTCACTAAAGGTTAGGGCTCTCTTTTTTTTTTTTTAAAAAAAAAGTTTTTCCTTGAAATTCGGATTGCAATTTTATTGATCTCTACATATCAAGATTGCAATTTCATCTGTACTCTTGCGCCTCTGCCTTGATCATGCTGTTTGTTTCCTTATGGTAACTCATATAGTCTTAATTTTCCTCTAATTACACAATTTTTGTTTGATTCAATCCATAGATATGCACAAACTGTTAAGACCAGATACTTTGCTTGTGTGGTTTTGTGCTTGTTGCTTGTACAATTACACGGAGTAAAAAAAGGGCACAAAAAGAACTTGTTCAGTTGATTTAGACGTTTATATCCCTATTTTGTTTTGAAATTTAGGGCCGTATGAAGGAGGGAAGCCCGATGCCACGTTTTCCTTCAAGGATGATGATTTTCTCAAGGTTGCCACTGGGAAGATGAATCCCCAAATTGCTTTCATGAGGTGCAAACATTTATTTATTTTCCTTTCTTACCCCAGTATTGCTTTGGGATTTGTTAACTTTGTTTGACACTAATGTGATCTTATGGGGTATGGGGTGAATGTAGGGGCGCAATGAAGATCAAGGGAAGCCTGAGCGCAGCCCAGAAATTCACACCTGACATTTTCCCAAAGCCTTCAAAGATGTAAGAGGATGTGCCACTGGTTTCTCTACATTTGGGTTCTTGTCATAGAAATGGTAATGTTAGGTGAATCCTTTGCTCTGTACCATAGAAATAGAAATGGAGCTTGTCCATGGTAATTTCTTCTTGATAGACAAAATTTATTATCATCATCATCATCAGATAAGTAGGTGATACCCACATTTGAGGCTTTTATTGCATAAAGTGGGTAAATGTTGCAGTTTCCTCTTTGTTCATTAATTTCGACAAATAATTTGTTGAATCATGAATGATATAATATTGACATGGAGTTACAGATGAGTTGCTTACCGGTTAATGTTTTGTGGGGTTTCATTATTATGAGAAATTCTCCATGGGATTAAGCACCTATTTTGCACTTTTTTGGTAATTACCATATGCTTTCTTCAAATAATATGTTGGTGCAGTATGTGCTAGTGTCATGTACTTTCATCTTGCCTGGTTTGCATCTTAGCACTTCTCTTGAGGTCTTGGGTTGCTAAAGCTCGAAGCCATCCATCTGTCTTCTCAGTTGTAGTTTCAGATTCAGTAGTAATCTAAGACTGTGAGGTTCTCAAACACTATCACGAGCTATCCTCTCTTTACCGCTGATTTTGTTAAGAAAGGTTTTGAAATCTGTTTTCTGGTGATTCTAAATTAACAATAAGCAGAGATCAAATGCTGGTTTTGTATCAACTCAGCCTAGTATTTTCCTTGGTTTGAAACTTGTGCTATCCCAGAATATACTGTGAAATCTGGGAGTAGATGTTGATTGTTTAGGCTACTGGTAAAGACTGTTAGATTAGATGAGCTGCTGCGCTTTGAGGATGTAGGAACCCCTCTTCTGCATTGTTACGTATGAGATAAACAAGTTGTCAATTGCTGGAGTGTTACTCAGAATGTTATTTAGGAACGTATACTCAAAATTTTAACTGTGGTTGGATAAATATTCAAGTGGTACGATATGAAAATTCAACTTCAAATAAATAAATCTATTGCAAGAAGAACTAAAACAATGCATTAAGTGGAATTCAAAACATATTGTTGAACTTTCACACAATTATCATGGTAGGAATAATAATATGAATATTAATAAACAGCAGCGTTACCGTGCTGTCAATGAATTTTATACCAAATAGAGTTCAAACCACTTTGTTAAGATGATTTAGGACAGGAAGAAATTTAGTTGATAATTTTTTCTTTTTCAAAAAAGTTATTGTAAGGGAAATAGAGATGACGTATAAAACATACTAAACATACATATATACATATGTAAGTATAGGTTTTATTATCCTTACAATTAGCCTTTCTACAATAATGCAAACTTATCTCAACACCTAATTCTTGTTTCCCTAAATTTCCTTTAAAAAAAAATAAAGGAAAATTCTTGTTTCCCCAAATAAAGGGACATGAAACGCACCGCATAAGGGCTCTCCAGGTCTTGAAAGTATTCTTATCGGGTGATGGTGTTTGTATAAACAGTAACAAAGCTCTAACGAAGAAAATATTAAAATAATAGAATAAAAAAAATTAAAGAATTTTCTAATCCGTAATAAATATTAAAATCTATACATATAACTTTATGCACTACCTGATAATATGTACAATGTGTACAAATGTAAACATTTTCCAATCAAAGTCAACAATTAGTATATTTTCCGGGATAACACAATTTTTTTTTTTTTTTTTTTTTTCCATTCATCCATGAATATAATTCCTTGAGGTATTTTACTTCATCGTCCTCTAATATTTTTTTTCTATAAATGGTTTTTTTTTTTGTCTGCCCTTCATCTTCCTCCTCACAAACAAGTATCAAAGCATTTCAAGTTGCCGAGGCCTGTAAAACCCAACAACAATGACTCCTCTCCTCTCTCTCTCTCTCTTCCTTGTCGCTTTCCCTGCTTTCACTTCTCCTACCTTGTTATTTCAGGTATACCCTTCTCTGACATTAACCAAAATTATACATATATATATATATATATCATAGATGCTTGGACTGCATAGTTTTACCAATGAAAGAATTTATATGTTGTAGGGATTCAATTGGGAATCATGGAAAAAACCAGGAGGATGGTACAACTCACTCAAGAACTCTATCCCTGATATTGCTAATGCTGGAATCACTCATGTCTGGCTTCCTCCTCCATCTCACTCTGTTTCACCCCAAGGTCTTTTCTTACTTTCTTACTCAGTAATTATGTCTGATATTTCTCATCGCAAACATGAATATCTTACGTTACATTACAGTAAAGGATGAATATAAGATTACTGTTGTTTCAGGGTACATGCCTGGAAGATTATACGATTTGAGTGCATCAAAATATGGATCTCCGGAAGAGTTGAGGTCTCTGATACAATCTTTCCATGAGAAAGGAATAAAGTGCTTAGCCGACATCGTAATCAACCATAGAACAGCAGAAAAGCGAGATGGTAGAGGAATATACAGCATTTTTGAAGGTGGAACGTCCGATGATCGTCTGGACTGGGGACCATCTTTCATTTGCCGGAACGATGAATATTCCGATGGTACGGGTAATCCCGACACCGGAGAAGATTTCCCGCCAGCTCCCGACATTGATCATCTAAATCTCAGAGTACAAAACGAGTTATCAGACTGGATGAACTGGTTGAAAACTGAATTGGGATATGATGGATGGAGATTTGATTTCGTAAAAGGTTATACTCCGAGTATTACCAAACTTTACATGGAGAGAACTTCACCGGGCTTCGCAGTGGGAGAGAAATGGGATTCTCTCTCGTACGGAGAGGATGGAAAACCCAACGTCAATCAGGATAGTCATCGGGGAAGATTAAAAGATTGGGTTGAGGTTGCGGGTGGAGTGGTAACGGCATTTGATTTTACAACAAAAGGGATTCTGCAAGAAGCTGTGAAAGATGAGCTATGGCGATTGAAGGATTCAAATGGAAACCCACCAGGACTGATTGGTATCTTACCAGAAAGAGCAGTGACTTTCATCGACAATCATGATACAGGATCAACTCAGAACCATTGGCCATTCCCATCTGATAAAATCATGCAAGGATACGCTTATATCCTAACCCATCCGGGCATCCCATCCATTGTAAAATTAATCTCGTTTCCATTTTCATTTCTTGGATTTGATGTTCTGTTTGGCTTTTTCTTTTGGGAATAAACTGCTAATTAGGGTTTTATCTATACAGTTCTACGATCACTTCATTGATTGGAATCTGAAGGATGAGATAACAAAATTGGCAGATATCAGGAATCGGAACGTGATCGGCGCCGGAAGCAGAGTAAATATTTTAGCTTCAGAGAGTGGGTTGTACGTAGCAGCCATTGATGACAAGATCATTATGAAGATTGGACCAAAAATGGACCTGGGAAACCTCATTCCTTCAGATTTCCTCCTTGCTACCTCCGGACAAGACTATGCCGTTTGGGAGAAATGAAAACAAACAATCAGATCTTCTGCATGTACTACATGAATAAGTAATTACATTAATTATATATTTTAATTAAGAAGAAAATATAATCAATGAAGATATAGTTTATAAAATGGTTATTAAGGATGAGACTTACGATTTTCTTGTTGTGGTGGGTGGGAGATTTGGATGCATTTGTTAAGATTGTAAGGTGGTAAAGCTCGACTGTTTTTTTTTTTTTAAAATTGACCCATTGACTTATTGACTTGGGAATGTCGTTGCCCTTTCCTTCTCCTTTTTGTTCTTTACAATGACAAAGCTTGACTCTAAATATATACACACACACATGCAGATATATATATATATATATATATATAAACCTGTATATAAAGATATAACTATTGGTGTTGATGTTACCATATCAAATTACATCATAAAAAAATGTTAATTAGGAATTAAGTTCATTACCTATATTTAAATTAATTATTTCTAGAACTAATTTAATATATGCATATAATGTGTTCCAAAATTAATTTAATACATACATGTAAACTAATTTTTTTTTAAAAAAGTAATTTAAGACATTCATATATGGGTACGAAATTAAGTTAAGAGTCAACATGAGTTATAAAACCGTTAATGTTGTTGAAATTTTTTCACAAATGCAATAAATATCTAAAATTTAGTCAAACAACTGATAAGTTTTTGTAAAAGCAGTTTCAAATAAGGTGATTATTCATATATATATATATATATTATAAAGAGTTCAGATATATCCTAAAAAAACGCCATAATATTTATAATATCCATATCAGTAAACAACTAAAAAACCACTAAATCAATAAAATGATTGAAAATTTATTTTTAAATATTAAAAAAAAAAGATAATTATAAAACATGACTAAAAACTATATGGTTGGCAAAAAGTCTAACAATTAAAATCTGATTAAGTCGCTTTTGCAACTTCCCCTCGATGAGATACAGAGATCATTAAATTTGTAACGAATTCCAACGAAATGCAAATTGAGTATGAAGTACAGGTATACACGTTAATTGATGAAAAATTCCACTAGCATGTTTCTATGCTGAAATTGGATATACACAAGAAAATTTTGGTAATGTAACTCTCCTTTTTGCTGCTTCAACAGGACCTTTATGAATGAAAATTACCTACCAGGAAAATGGTATGTAGAATTAATTGAACATCTTAACTTTTGGCTTTCCAGTAGCTCTTATGCGTTAATTTTCTTGGGGGAAAACAAACCAATAACAGCCAAGAGTATCTCAACCCTTTGAATTGATCGTCGTCTTATTTGTGTCTTTATGCAGCAATCTTGTCTCCATGTTAGTCTTATCTGACGGCTTCTTCGTCAGGATATATGGACATATGTGCAGATAAAATACCAAACACTTCCTCTCTCAATATGTAGCAAACAAATTGAAACTCAACTTTGTCGGGTTTGTTCATCCTCCAAAGTAGTTTCTTGCAGATCCATCCGACCTGAATCAGAAAAAAGAAGCATATTACTTTAAGCAGTTTCGTATCACTTACTAGATAAGACCAGAGAGTAAATCTAATCTCCAGCTTATTGAAAAAGGAAAAAGAAATTTTGGCTAAATCAAACTCTCTCTTCACCAGTAATTGGAATAATAAACTGGTTCATGCAATCAAAGGAAGAATTTCTAGAATTAAATACACTTAAGAGGAGCCTTTCAACAAAATTAAACAACCCTTGACCATTAAATAATTTTGACTCATTCAAAATGGTAATTTTACATGTATGAATCAGTCCTAAAACAAAATGGTTGTTTATCTTTTTTTGCCTAATTTCTCTGCTTGAGCTAAAAGGTTTTGTAAGTCAGTATGGTAAACAAAAGGGAAAGAAGCAAGACTCATAAAAATCTGTAACACCACCAAATGGCACTTGAGGCAACAATGTTAAACATACCTAACAAGGTAATCAAGGATGGAGGTCTTGATGACTCATTTGATCTTGTGTCTGTACCTGCAATCATTCACACAGTAAGAAGATAACAGACAGTAACTACTTGTCTATGATGCTAATATAAGAATATGTTAAGTGAGATTATGGTCGGAAATCTATCAACTAGAAAGGCAGAATACCTGAATTTTCAAGGGACTTCAGGATGTCTGATTTCTTAAAAGTATATCCGATGAAATTGGTGTCTTTTGAAGTCAACATCTGCGTCAAAACAGCAAAATATATGGAAAACAAAATTTAATAAAAGAAGACTCAATAGGGTCGCTACAAATAGATAAAATCTAAACAAGAAAGCAGATATTAATTGAAGAACATTATAGCAACAAAAAAAAAAGTTTCAACATCTTGGGAAAAGAAAGACTTCTTTTGGCAGAAATCATTCCCGGAAGCAAACATATTCCTGACAAGATTGAAGAAACCATAGACATACAAAGTACGCACACAAATGCAACCTTCTATACAGGCATATATTACCTTTCTCCACGGTCCTACTTGCTGTGAAGTAGATGGCGGGCCTTCTACCTACAAACATGTAAAGGCTTTGTGAGAGACAGTAATAAAAAGGAAAGATACCCAACAAGCATTTAAGAAGATTAAGAAAAACTAGAATGCATTTTAATAGAGTATTCAAACAATCTGCTTTGCACTTTAGCTCTTTAAACAATATGAAAGTATCTATAAATGAGAATAATTTGTTGTCTGATAAACAGAGAAACCTTAACTCAGGGAAGTAAGTTTCAATAGAATCGAGCACCCAGACAAGAGCCCTAAAGCTTAAGCAAGGATTTGTGAAATTGAAAGAGCTTCAAACACGCAGAAGTTTCATGTATTAATATCTTAAAAATTTCATCTCTAAAGCCTATAGTTCTGATCTGCTTACTTACATCAGGAAACTTCTCAAAATTCTGAGTATCCAACTCTCCATTTACTGTAGGTTTATATGCAGCTTCCATTTCATACAGTTTCTCCCAGTGAATGCATCTTAACCATGGATGATCCTGAAAAACAGTTTAACAAATTTTAAAAAGATATTAAACTCCCAACTTTAGAAATAGAAAAAAAAAAAAAAACATTGCTGAGGAATAATAAAATTTCTTACATTGCGTAAGTTTAAACCCAAATAATTTGTAATTAAAGATGAACAAAGCGGAGCTAAGCATATCTTAATTCTTTCTTGAGAAGCTGTCACCTTTAGCTCTTCTACTCCTCTGGTCCCCAGCCTTTTCTCGACATTGCAGAGCAAGTGACAAATCAAGTCCCTAGCCTCAGGTGATATTTTTGGTTCGTCGGGAAATTTAAGGCATGTTCTCCAATTGATTATCTGATATAGGAAAGGAATATTAAAAATTAGGAAACATCAAGGTTTCCAGTGAAATAATCAAGAAGCAAACAAGGGTAACCACCTTACGGCATGTGACTCGTGGATCATCAGAACAAAAAGGAGGATAGCCTATGAGCATCTCGTACATGATTGCCCCCAAAGACCACCAATCACACTCCATTCCATAACCCTTCTTCAGCAAGACTTCAGGGGCCATATAATCAAGAGTCCCAACAGTTGAATAAGCCTGAAGAAATAGATGAGCTAGTGACTAAGAAGAGCATAGATGACTATTCACGACGTGCAAATAATGGAAACCCTAGAATTTGATACGAGCTTCTCCACAAAGAGTAACCAGAAACTTGATTTGATATGAACATAGGGTCCTGAAGATAGAATACCAGTGCACGGCGATTGCGCTTCCACTGCTGTAATTCCTCTTTGGGCATCATCCAAGGTGATCTAAGTGAACCTGGCTGTCCTTCAGTTTCATTTGTAGAATCCTGGGAGGTAATATCCTCGTCCTCCAATAAAATTGTTGAATATTTATCCTCCAGGGGCTTACACAGGCCAAAATCTGAAAGTTTCAAGTGGCCATTTCTATTTAATATCAGGTTATCTGGTTTAATATCCCTACACAAGGAAAAGAACCTCAGGTTAGAAGTATGGAGAAATAAAATATGCTATTCTATCTTCAACAGTTGGATTGATAGCCATAGATTAAGAGCTTTTATCACTCAATCATTGCTCATTAGGATCCCATGTTCACAAATAGAATATCCTATTTTGGCCCGAACTAACAGATTTACGCAGGTGCACAAAAACAATATACTATTTAAGCATTTTTATCACTTAGAAGAAGCCATGCCTAGCCATTCCTTATAATACATTTCCTTCTTTTGCACTAGATCGGACAAAACCATATTACGGTTTTAGTGGTTGACAGAAAGAAAGCATATTACTCCTTTTCATTCTCGATAGTATGACACCAAATTGGTTGCCCAAATTACCTTGGCTTGAGCACAACAGAGAATCCCAAAATTCAAACATTCAACAGGTACACTAAGCACCTTAGATACCCGAAACTTCCCTCTCAAGCTGAAAGGCTATGTCTCTTCCCTTAACTGATGCCCCTTCTCCTCTATAAACAGTACATATGATATTAGTTTTAGATAACTGTCATACCTATGGATATAGTTGTGTTGATGAATTGACTGAATAGCGAGAATGCTCTCAGCTATGTAAAAACGCGCAACATCTTCAGAAAGAACATCTTCTCGCATCAGTAATGTCATAATATCACCACCAGGTAAATACTCCATGATGAGGTACAAGAAGTCAGAGTCTTGAAAAGAATAGAAAAGTTTCACAATGTAACGACTATCCACCTCCGCAAGTAAGTTCCTCTCAGAGCGGACATGCTCAACCTTAAATGAAGAAACAATGAGAATATCATTATCAATTATTTTATGTCACAATCCACAAAATATGTGCAAAAAGCAGATTTTTGGAGTAAGATAGATTTTTATTCAAATACGAATAAGGTTGAATACAATTTTGCCGTCAACACTACAGTTATTCCAAGTAGGACATAATCAAGGCTTTCATATGCAGAATTTTAAGCATTTGTCAACTTCTGATTTATCCATCCATGTTCCTACAGTAACCAAGTTCTCAGTCCAATCTCTTCTTAACATTCTCTTCTGCAAAGTTGATTATTTGATGCTAAATAAACTTTTACTTTCTTACTGATAAAAAAGCACAGGTTCTTTAGGAAAAAGGCTCTCCAGTACTAGACTAACGAGGCACATCCTTTGGAAGATAAAAACCTCTTTAACAATCTTAAAATTAATTAGTACATTAAATATAATAAATTTAGACTACTGATTTGTCCAAGTGGGTCAGGAGATATTCAATCCACTTCTACAACAGTTGTTATAATGTCTCTTGACTACCATCAACTATCAGCAAATAAAGCCGTTATGTATGTGGAAAGGCCCAATCTCATAAAATCCCAAATTTTCTGGTGAAGCTATCAATAGCATTTTTGAGGTCACTTCCACAGTACAGTACAGCCTATTCTCAGGTTTTCCCTTATACTTGCTATGTATGTGTTTATTCTCCAAAACAGTTTTATGGTTACTTTCTGAAATTAAAGTGTATTAGAACTAGATTTTGGCCATGGGAGGAAAACACGTGATACTCTTGTGATTCTTCTATGATGAATTCTGATTCATGCCCGTCCAGTAGGTTGCATTGATTGAATCACATAAATCTATTTTGTTGATTTAGTTTTATATATTGGTTTGCTTGTTTGTTTTTCAATATCACATAACAGTAGAATTGATGTATAGAATAATGGAGATACAGTTTGAAAGTAGATAGCTCATCTGCTAATGACTGATTCACCTGTCCACGACTAAGCATTTCTGACTTCTTCAATTTCTTCATAGCAAAAATCTCTCCTGTACTTTTGGCACGACATAGTCTCACCTATTTTCAGAAAGGAGCATAGTGATGAGCACCAAATCACCAACAAACATAAATATTTTTCAGGCACAGGTACAAAAATGGGGAAACGAACATAAATCTTCTCCAGGCACAGGTACAATAATGGAAATATAAACCATCAGAAGCATAAAAGACTTCCACTATCATATTAAGTTCATGTCATTGTAACTAACGGACAAGCTCAACTAGGACAGATGAATCCAATCAACTAATGAACAAAAATTTCAATAAGATGCCAAGGGTACCAGAAGTTGATATGCTGGACATCATCTACGGAAAGAGAAATGTCAACAGAAAATTGACAGAAATCCATGCGTACCACAACATTTTTCTTACATATTTCATCAATAAAATCTAGAATCTTGCTTTTTTTTTTTTTATCTGCGAGAATCAATCTTGCTAAACATGCAACAATTATATCAAGAGTAATGGTACTGAATTAAGGTGTGAAAATGCAATATAAGTTTTTTTTATATACCTCGCCAAATGCACCTTTTCCAATCACAGTCAATTGCTCGAAGTCATCAATCCCAACTTTACGTCTTTGCAGTCTCATATACTCTGTCTCTCTACGTTCTAAATTCCTCATCATCTCTTCTTGTTCCTCATTCGATACCTGAGCTTCTTGCGCTTTCCTCTGAAGTGTACGCCGTCTGAAATATAAGAAGGAACCATGTCCGATAAGGTTGTAAACAGGGGAAAAGGACGCAATTAAGTTCACCTCTCTGTTCTCGTTTCTAATTAGTGTTAACACACAGGTCAAAGACCAATATCGAAGAAAAATGGAGCAAACAAAAGGCAAACAAAATAAAAGTCAATAATAATACTCAATACATCTATCCAAATCAATATATATTAGTATAATATATAAAAGAAACCCAATCGGAAAACTAGAAAACTGAAATAGACAAATCTTAAACACGGAGAAATATAAACAATAGCATGACTGAAGTTGACCTTAAATTGAACTCATAAGATACTGATTATACATACTCAAGAAAAAAAAAAAAAGTGAGTGTACAGTTAACACGACGCCAAGTTTTCAAAGGAACGCCAGAATTCAACAGAAATGAGTTCGAGTGGGAGCGGAAATCAAAGAGCATAAAGAGTTACGCAAAATTGCACCTCTCCATTCGATCTTGCAATCCTTGTAAATGGTTTTTGTAGTGATTCTCAATGAACTGCTTGGCGGCGGCAGCTTTCTGTCTGGTGACCGGCGAAGAAACAGAGACATCAGGATCCAAATCGAGACCCCGACCTGGCTTCATGTTCAAAGCCCCTAACCTCACCGTACCATCAGCACCGTCCATTTTGTACCCTCCGAGAAAAAGAACGAGATTAATTCTGAAGCTAGAGAACAGTAAGGAACAGTCGATCAAGTAAACATATGTATAGAAGGATGAAATGGAAGCTTTGGCGTCACGGTTTCCGAGATAGAGATCTGGGAGCTGCCAGTATGTTTGGGAAAATGACAGAGAAAATGAACGTAGGCGTTTTTTAGAGAAAAATGAACTGGCAACCATGTAGCGGTGACTCACTGGGTAATATATCCATATATATATATATATATATGTATGCAGGACTTGCAAGGAGGTCTTTTGAATGAGGTAGTTATATTTATCTTTTTTTAAAAAAAAAAAAAAAGAAAAAAGAAAAACATATTACTGGGAATTGAGTGTTATCGACGGTATCGTTTGAATATATTTATTTTTAATTATTTTATAAATACTTTAAAATTTAAGCCCTGAATATATATATATATATTATTTTTCTGAGGTGTATATTAAACAGTAATTAATTACATTTACCCCCTTAAATTTGTTATTTTTAATTTTTTTTAAAAATGAAAAATAGGAAGTCATTTCCGTCGGCGGAGATCTATAGAGGTAAGAAAGTAGGTGGCTTCTGTGAATAAATATCTAATGAGCTGTCATTGATATTAATAACATAATTATTATATTAATTTAATAATGTTTATGAAATATCCAAATTACCCTCCAACTTCTTCTTAACAAGAATTTTGTTTTTGTAGACCCCTTTTGGTTACAAAAAGCAAAATGTTGTTAGGGAAATCAGAATTGATTTAGCAAGAGAAAGTACAATTTGTGAAGCCAAATTTAGTCTTATAACTAAAGAGTAAAAAGATCAAATTAAATGAAATGATTATAATAATGTTTTGTGAGCTAATGCAAGATAAAATAAAATAATTAATAATTTGCATATTTTTGTTTTTTAATAGCTACCAAAGAAAATTCTATCAACATGTGACATAGAGATGATGCAAGATATTATAAGAAAATATCTTTTTGTGGGAAATATTATATTTTTTTTTGTGTGTAATATTTCCACAAATTGATAAGTTAAATGGAAGTGTAAAACATTTATTACATTTAAAAATAAGAATCACATGTGTCAGATGTAATACAAGTTAAAAATATTGACCAATCAAATGAAGACGTCTTAAAATGAAATGAATGATACATGTAACTAACTCAGTACCTAATAATATCAAAGATAACTAACTTTATTGAAAATAATTAAACGTACCCTAAATACTAAGATTAAAGCTTATATTGTGTTACAATTTTTATGTTATATCATAATTATAGCAACACCATAATACATATTAACATAATATATTACAAGGCATACTACATTTAAGTAGCCAAGATAAGAGTTTGGGAGGATTTTAAATAATCTCTATTTTTTTATGATCAATTCAAAAACTCTCATTTGCTCTTTAAACTTATTAAGTCATTTATTTTATTGACTTCAGTATTAAATAATGCTTCTAAAACAAAATTCGAAATTCGTAATTTGTTTATTTTCTATGTCAAAGTGCATAATCTACATTATCATTTTATCTATTAACTACCGCTTCTATTTGCTAACCTCCATCATCTATCAATTCTTACTTTCGTTTATCAACTTTTACCTAGTTATACCTTATGTCATATTTATTTTATCATATAATTTGTATGTTTTTAACTTTAGAGAATGAGAAAAGAAGGAGCCGTAATTCAAGGAATGTCTAATATTTTCATGTATTCAAAATTTTAGGTTGATTTCTAACACTATTGTTTAAGATCATATGATTCATTATTCAAATATAATAATTTATGATTCAAATTATACTATTTCCTACCATATAAAATAAATTATATAGATGAATAATAATTTACCATTAATCTTATGTGAATAACGTGATTCATAATAAATCATGAAAACTAAATTAAATCATGTTGTTCACCTAGTTTTTCTTAAAACTAGATCTTACCAATTTACGTAACTTTGCTATTTACTTCGAAGTTACAATTTTGGGTATCATATAATCTGTTGAATGTTGTTATTTCGAAAGATAATTTATGTTACGCACATGTACATCATTTTATTCAAAGATAATGCTTTTTAGTTTACTAAAAATGTTAGTAAAAATTTCTTAAAATATTATAGTCAATCATGACGTTTTTACATGCCACAAAACTTTTGATTCATGAACTATGTTTTAAATTTAAGATCCATTTTTATTTGCATTTCTTGATTAAGAAAATTGTTTCTTAAGTTCAGTCTTTTTTAACTTTAATTTAACAAATATGAAGTCTAAAGATTTGTAAAGAAAAATGATGAAACCCTAAACTGACGTTTATGATGGAAATCGTCTACCAGTCTCGTCAGAGTTCAGCACCTTATAAATAATGAGTTGTCAATAGTTCTAATTGTTGAATAATGACCACGCATAGCATGAATGGTGGATTCCAATTTGTTACCACATGCTACATCCTACTTTTATTAGTTAGGAGGCAATTTTGGAAGGTAAGCTGACGAAGAACTTTCGCTTGATTGGACACTCGGCTTCTTCTTCTTTTCCCATACGAAATTTCTTCTTCGTTTCCCATATGTATTTCCAACCGCAACTTTCCATTGTCCCTTCATTCGCTACACCAAACTGCGAAGGGAGAGACCATTTCCTTCACAATAATGCATCCAGAACTATGCTGCCTGGTGGTGGATGAATGGTTCTAACAAGCATTCATCTAGCTTGCCTGTCTCTATCTCAAAAACAATGGTAAAGGTGATATCACAATTATGGGTTCTGTCTGTCTCTGTAACCTTGATAAATAAGCTCCAGCCACCTCATATTTCATTCTTTAAAACTAGAATTAATTGTTTTGGTTCTGGGTCATCACGCAATACATAGCTGAAGTTATAGCCTTTCCTCAGCAAGAAAACTCCACGCAAGTGTAAATTTTTCAAACTTCTCTTTGAAAAATCCTGTGCCTACAGCCTACATTATACCAACCATCAAATCTCTTGAACTGCTGCACAACAATTTGCTCTATACATTGTAAAAAACCACAAAACTTCAATCGTCATTTATGCTGGATGATGCGCCTCAAATTTCTCATACTGGCCAGTCTCCTCGTTAAATGAATACCTGCATTTTAAGGGGGGCATGCACCCATCAAAGTAACAGGACAGAGCATTAGGTATGATAGTAAAACAAAATGGAGCAGTGCTACATACTCTACAAGGAATATTTTCCCAAAAGAAAAAGAAAAAATATCATTCTTTTGAAGACCAGTAAAGGAGCACCAATATGCAAAAACATTTGCAACTCTTTCAAAACAAAAAAGATATCTAAGATCAACAAAACTAACCCCGCCTTTTTTTGTTGGACATAAGAAAGAGAACATATGAAGCCAGTAAGGGGTATGATATACGTACAAAACCAAAAATTTTACAAATCGATCAAGATGGCTATGAGTTCTCCTAAATCCTCATGAGACACAAGAATTGTCGTTTAACAAAATACTGAGAGTCTAGAACCATAAATCATAAGGCTGCAAAAAAAAGAAAAAGAAAAAAAGAAGCATCCTTGAAAATCCTTCTATTCCTCTCTTTGCATACCACCCACAAGATCGAGTCAAGAGGATTTGGATAGTCATTTTTCACCTTCTCTTATCACCACAAATACCTAGCCAAGCCCAAATCTCATCCCTCACAGAGCTTGCTATCACCCTATCATATCCAAGAAACCAAAAGCATCGTACTGGATACTACTGGCAAACTAACAATGCAACAGGAGATGATTGAGAGATTCCGCTCCTACATAAATAGCATCCATGGACCAAAATCTTGTCTCTTTTCCTAAGTTACAATCATGAGAATCCTTTCCCTTACAGCTTCCTAAGCCAATTGCCCTAATTTAGAGATTCATTCACCTTCTAAAATAGCCTTTCATGAGAGGACAAGTTAGAGAGATGAAACTAGAAAAATCTAATGAAAAGGAAAGCCGCAGATTTATATCTGTATTTAGTCCAATGGTAAACCAAGATATTTTAGCGGAAGATAGCTCACCTTGTACACCAGAATACTAACAAAGAAATTCATGTCAACAACAACCTGCATGGCCACCAATTCTAATTTGGTTAACTTATCTTCAAACCTGATACTACTTAGAAACAGAGAAGAAAACATCTTAGAGAAAGTAGAGAATCTCTATAAGGCCCGCAAAAGAATTGGAAATTGTTAGCAATAAACAGGTGTTGCACCTCTACTGTATTCTCTCCTTCACAATGCCAATCCCTTGGTCTTACCTCCTTGTCTCTGATAATCAACTTGTTCAATATCTCCATAATAATAAAGAGGAGGATCACCTTGCACAAAGGCCACTGGAAACATCTACGGAAGCTCCTTTTCCAAAAAACAAAGGAAATGGCAAGGGGATAAAGCAAAAGGATTTCCTCCTAGGCTTAGCAACTGGGATATCATTTCAAGCCCATAATTCATTTTTAGTAGAGCACTAACAACCCAGCTAAAGTTCAGGAGACGGAGGGTATAATCCCAAAGCCTTCTGATCTCTGGAAACCAAAGAAGACGGAGCGGATTCACTCTCATTGTGGCAGAAAAGACACCTACTTATTATAATGTACCTCTCTTCACAAGATTGTTTGTAGTCAGAATCCTAGTGAGGGAAGAAAAAGCAATTCTCAAGGCCACTTCTGTTCTCCATATCTGTTTCTATCGAGGATCATATCCTGCACTAAATGGTTGTTGTAATTGGATTTGACAACAAAGTTTCACTCATAGAGAGGCTTTTGTATATGTATATATATGTATATTGAATACAGAGAAAGGAGGAGAAATATAACCATGAAGCTATTCTCCATAATGGAAAAAAACAAAGAGTACAAGAGGAGAAAAACCTGCCATGTCCAAAAGATGACAGCCAGCCAATATCTATGCAAAGTAGGCAAACTAGTCTTTGAGAAACGCCATGCGCCTTAAGCCACATGGACACTGGAAAACTAACCGTATCTCAAAGAAAGCTAAAATGAGAATCACAATTTCTGAAAATCCTAACAATTTTCTCTAACCATATTCCCACAACCCAGCAAAAATAGCTCAGCACCATAAAGCCTTAACATCTTTTCTCCAATCCACGGCTTGGATAGCTGGAGATAAAAACACCTGAAGGTGAAAAGCAAAAACCCAAGACACACCAGACTACAAAGTAAACAAGACCAGACTCCAAGTCATCTCATAGTGAAACATTCAGCAGCTTTATAACACATCATGAATGCCCCAGGAGATAAAGCACAATTCGACTATCTCGCTTGGACAAATTGTAAGTATCAGCCTATTCAAGAATGCAGTCCAAACAGAGGCTTTAACCTTTAAAGGGCCATGAACCTTCAAAAAACACTTATTTCAAAATATTATTATGAATACAAGGTTGCTGGTTGAGAACGCAAAGGATTTGCAAGAAAAAATGCTAGAAGGAGCCAAAGACCAAATTCTACGATCAGGACCCAAAAAAAACCAAACAGAACTGAAGAGTAGTAACAAAGAAATCATTTCAGCAGCTCCGCAATCCCTGAGATATCTTAAAAAACATGTTCTATGACATATGATCCTTTAAGTAATACAAAAAGAGAAATATGATCACTATGTCTCTGGAATAAATTGTACATCCTTGGGAAATAAGTGGCTAATGGAGTAGTATCAACCTAGGATCTGCCCAAAAACTGTGGGAACCATCATCCACCCTCAAGGAAGAAAAGAAGCATAGAGTCTCAAAATAGTTTTTAGGGTTTCCTGTAAATAGTAGAAGAGCTGATTTTAGAGTCCCAGCCATTCCGAAGTAAACCAAACTTGATCTTGACCACTTTGTGGCCTTAAGAAGCTTCTAAACTGGATATATTGAAATCAAGCTTACTTCAGGAATGCTCT